CACGAACAGCCTTTACACAACTCTTCTAGCAGCAAACCCCGTGGATAAAAGAATGCCACCACAAAATTTCCATTCCTTTGGAACAAACACGATTCTGCAAGCAGGAACTTGCCAAAACCTGGAATAAGAAACACTAGAGCGATGTCCTATCAACTCCAGCCTTTGAACTTAGTCCACGATTTTTCAAACCAACTAATCAGGTGGAAAGTTCTAATAACATATCAAATATCATACGAAAACTAAAGAACACAAGCATTTAGCGAGGTTTCCCTAAGATTATCAAGACTAGTCAACAGGAGATATAGAACTCTCCAAGCAAAATTCTTGTTCATGTGATCAGTTTGTACAATTCACATATTATATATATAGGGTCAGATACGGCAAACCCTACACATAAGTCGACTAGCTTGTTAAATAATGGTCCCCTCACTTTGATATTCTAACACTTGGTTGTTGGGAACTTAAGACTAGCTCTAATATATTCTTTCAGATAACATGTTCTTCGTTCAAGCTTACTACAAGTTCATGACTCAAGATATTTTCCTCGGTTTAGAAGAATCCTTCCAGGGAAAAAAAATGTATTTGGAGTTCAGTTGCTTCAACTAAAATACCAGTCTTTCTTTAGTTAGCTTACCATGGAAAGATCATCACTCAAGATCATTTGAAACTCCAAGGTTGTTACCTACCATGTCATGTGAGCATTCCGGGGTCTTCATTTCAATAGATGAACACCCAGGAACCCCTCCCCATGGATGGCTAAGTTCTTTAGTTGCGTAGGTATGTGAACCCTAGGGGTTCTAACCATGTAAACTTGATGTTTGGTTTAATACGACTGTGTTTACTTCATATATCTTGATGTTTGATTTCCTCTATTTTGTTATTTTTCTATTCAAATGAGAGATTAGTCGACCTTGCACTCTCTTGAGGTGCAAGGATCGAAATCCTAGTCACTTAGGATGAGACTAGAAATAACAATCCTATTCAATCGAACATCATTCGATATAACGACGTGACGCCTCTAGGGAGAAATTTGAAGGGTCCTTGTCTCCCATTAGTTCAAGTAAATGTTTATAAAGTGGTATCTAACAAAATAAGAAATTGACAATTCGTGTGCTTCCGATCATCATGGGACGCATGGTTAGGAGACCTAGGGGAAACTTTTCTGTGCAACGTATCCTTCTCTGATCTCATTCGTCCATTAGAATAGATTTACTTTTCTGTACAGTTTACTCTCAAAATTTTACATTCTGCAAAACCAGAACCAACTCACCCTCTTCTTCAATAGAACCGTACCTCGCTTCCGGAGTGAGGGTTATGCGAGAGGTCTTAGGGAAATACGATCCTTGCCTTAGAGCCATGTAAATTTGGCTCTGTAATGATGAGATTTTGTGCATACAGTATCATCAAGTCTCCCTACAAACAAATAACAACTTTAGATTTATGAGGTAATTGCTATGAATGAATCCCCATCCTTTTGGCAATGGAATTATGTCACATGGACTTAAAGACGACCATCAATTCTTCCTATTCCGACCTTATTTAAGTAACTTCCACTTTGGAAAGCATTAATTGTCAAAGATAAGGGGCAGGAATTGAAGATCGTGGTTAGAAGCCAAAGATCACGGTCGTGATCATAAGCCACTAAGACCAGCTGAAGATCACGGCTCAGAAGCCATAGATCGGGACCGCGATCTTGGAGGGCCAGGGCGCGAACTTTGCGTGGAAGGAGCCTTGGAGAAGTAGAGTGTCTCCCCAGTCGCATCACAACCAATGTTCATATTGTCCACGAGGAAGATCGCGACCTCTACTCGTGGATCGTGACCGCCAAGTCAGATCGCGATCTTCCCCTTTCCAAAGGCCTCGACGATTGCGTTTTGAGATTGCAACCCAGAGACTAAAGATCTAGCCCGCGATCTCCCTTCCTCAGGCCACGGACTTTCCCGAGTCTAGAATGTCTACAAATACAAGACCCCTTTCCCCTTTTGGAGTGAGCTGATTTTAAGAGGAACTTTTTGGTTTTAGAGAGAGAAGATAGAGAAGGTGAAGGAAGAGCAAGGATGCATCTTCTTCAACCCCAAGTCTTCTTCTAATTCTACCGTGTATCTTCTTCCCTCCTTTATGGAGTAGTCCTCTAAGGTACCAGAGATTCTAAACCCTAAATCCTAAACCCTAGATTTAGGGTTTACTATGTATGGATATTTTAGGGTTTGAATGAATGAATGTGTTTGTCTAGTTGATTTTAATGCCACTCTCTTATAAATGATGACGCTTGGGTAATTTGCCCGAATATTCCCTCTTAGCTTACTTTATGCTACCGCGCTGGGTATGGAGTTCTAGGGTTAGACGGGTGTGCGCCATCTGGCGAGTTTATGTTAGACGTGTCAATGGGGGCCTATGGTGGTCGAGGTGACCGAACCCTTGCTATAGGTAGCCTTCCTAGATGAAACTCGGGATGAAACCTCTGCATGGACGGTGTGTTTGTCTAGTTGATTTTAATGCCACTCTCTTCTAAATGATGACGCTTGGGTAATTGGCCCGAATATTCCCTCTTAGCTTACTTTATGCTACCGCGCTGGGTACGGAGTTCTAGGGTTAGACGGGTGTGTGCCATCTGGCGAGTTTATGTTAGACATGTCAATGGGGGCCTATGGTGGTCTAGGTGACCGAACCCTTGCTATAGGTAGCCTTCCTAGATGAAACTCGGGATGAAACCTCTGCACGGACGGTGGATAGTGCCCATTGAAATGAGCCATAAGCTTAATGCATCAAATACGATAGTCTAGATCGAGGTGACTGGAACATGGGTTTAGGGGAGGCGTACTCGGTAGGGATGGCAATGGGTCGGGTTGGGGCGGGTTTTTCCAAACCCAAACTCATGGGTTTATCCACACACAAAAAAACCCAGGGTAAAACCCACTGGGTTTGAAAAACTCAAACCCAACCCAACCCGCTGGTTATTCGCGGGTTCATGGGTACCCGTGGGTTTTTGTGGTAAAAATTTTACAATAACAATTAACAAGAAACTATCTAAATAAAAATCAAGCATAAGTCTCACCACACAAACTATACATACATAAAACACCATTCTAGAAAATTCAAGCAAATCACACTATCCATACAAATTGTTCAACACCAATCTAGAAAATTCAAGAAAGTCACACATTATCCATAAACAACATGATTAATTGTAATTTCCTCCTCCTTAGAACTTGAACATTGTCATCTTAGCTTCACTCTCCGCTCAATAATGAAACACAAAGTTCAAAGGATGATTTGATTACTAGAGCATTCAGACAAGAACATCTGATTGGGGATTAATGATACTGGAATAGATGGAAATGGTGTACAATCTTAATCCACCATGCTAAACAAAACAAAACGGTCTATGACAAAAAGAGAAAAGTACAAGAGAAATCAAAGCTCAACCTATATCGAAGAACCCAAGTATGCAACAGCTCCTCTAAGACAAGCAAACTTCTTCAAAACCTAATGAACAACAAAAAGAAAGACTTCAGACAACAGGGTACAAGAAAACTAGATATTCAAAAATATCAAAGTGCAACTGAAGTAACCTCTTCCTTGGTATTCACCCCCTCAATCTGGATCAAAGAAGTGTTGGGGTACTGGTTTTCCTTGGAACTAATTATCACCAACAAAACCAACACTTAATCTCTCTCTAAAAAAAAAAAAATTAAACCTTAGAAAGATTTCCACCATTATTGAAACCTACACTAGCTAATCATATTCATCATACAAGAAATCAAAGATCTGTAAGACCATTCTTTAGTAACCCATTTCCTGACATCCTAACAAGACAATATTAGAGAAATAGGAGAATCAATCAAAGTTCAAGTCTCAATACATCTTGTACCCTAGGATAATTCCTCGGACGTCGGGAATGGAGGTCAGGACACAGAGACGCGGAGCAGAGGAGGAGCAACCGAGCAAGGGGAGGGCGGCTGGACGGGAGGTTTAGGGCTCTGGGTGGGGCGGCGACCGTTGCGAATGGAGTCGGGAAGGGAGGTGGAGGCGCGCGGGGTTTCAGAGAGGGAGAGCCGGAGAGGAGAGGGATGGAATGGAAGGTACGGGCGTGCGGGTGCGGCGGGGTGTCTGGGAATTGGGGGGCAATTGTAGGGTTTACTAAATGTAGCCGGATATCCACGGGGCGGGTACTCCCAAACTCGCACAACAACACACCGGGTTTAAACCCGAACTCGATCCGAACCCGGTCAACACGGGTTTTACCCGTTTTGATAGGGTTGGGTCTGGCTGGGTACCCGCGGGTTCGGGTTTCACTGCCATCCCTAAGTACTCGGAGGCATGTGGATAACTACGAAAGCCAACGGAAAAGAGCTCACTCACTACATTCGATGACCCTAAGTATCTAGATTTGCATAGTGACCCTAAGCTAGGGAGAGATAGTTCCCCGAAGTACCTGCTTTTAGTTTTGATCAACCTCTAGACCAGTGTTTCCTCATATCCCCCACTCAAAACCTCAAAAAACCGATTAACTGATTAACAACAAGGTAGGCTAGGGTACCAGGACCCGAGTAGTACGACCTTAATTACCACTATACAATAATGTCGTTCTAGGTTAAACTTGACTTAGAATTGGATAGTTGGTGATACGTGCTAACCTCTGACAATAACCTGCACGAATTCAAGTGATCACGAGTCCAATCTGTTACGAAGCATCGTCATAGAAGCATTACTCCCCAATCTCCACGTTAATCATAGGGGGGAATACAAAGTAAGAATGCCAACAAATATGGCACGAAGGGAGTGGACCATCTAATACTTGAATCCGGCCACTTGTTAGATCAAAGAAGTGGTTGGACTACTAGATGGACCGTTGACAAGGACTGATGAAAACCACAGCCGCCGTGGATCGAACGGAGGCGGCTCTTACGCCGGCCGTCGATCCCCCCATTAACCGCCAAATACGTCCAAACCTAGGAAGATAACACTTTATTATTAAATTAAAAAAAGAAAAGGGGTCTCGTCTCTCGTGTCGCGTTTTCCCGCTTCCCCTTCCTCGCATCTACTCAGGAGGAACTCTGCAATTCCATTCATCATTTGTCATTTTCGTTCCACTTCAACAGCAAAAGTCAAATAACTGAGCCTTCTTTCTCTCCCGTTTCATTTCTGTATTTATAAAATCCAATCTCTGGTATTTCCCTTGAGCCGCAGAATTATTCCCTAAAGTAATCAGCTTTCGAAAAATCGAAGCAACTCCCCGCACTACAAAGTGAGCTCAGAGGCAGGGGAGAAGGGAGGAGGAGAAGAAACATGGCTGGTTACCCGCACAGCAACGGCGGAGGCGGAGGAGGTCAGTGCCCCGCGGTTCCCTCTCACGGTGGTCAGTTTGTTCAGTACAACATATTTGGGAATCAGTTTGAGATCACCCCAAAGTACCGGCCTCCGATCATGCCCATCGGCCGCGGCGCCTACGGCATCGTCTGGTACTGGAGCTCATCGTCTTCTCTCTAATTGATTTTTTTTTTTTTATGATCTCTTGATTGGATTTTCCCCCTTCCTTTTGATTGTGGGTTTTGATTTGGGATTTCTGTGATTTGCAGCTCGGTGTTGAATTCGGAGACGAACGAGATGGTGGCGATGAAGAAGATAGCTAATGCTTTCGACAACCACATGGACGCCAAACGCACCCTCCGCGAGATTAAGCTGCTCCGCCATTTGGATCACGAAAACGTCGGTGGTCTCATCTCATCTCATCTCATCGCGCTTCCATTTTCTATTCAATTGGACTTTTAGGGTTTGGTGGGATTTTCGCCTTGTCTGATTGTGATGGGTCGGTTTGATAACAGGTGATCGCCATCAGAGACGTGGTTCCTCCGCCGTTGAGGAGAGAATTTACTGATGTCTACATAGCTACCGAGCTCATGGACACCGATTTACACCAGATCATACGCTCTAATCAAGGTCTATCCGAGGAGCATTGCCAGGTAAAGCTGCGATTTGGTTCGTTTTCTAACGGGGATGGCTCGCAAAGTAATGTGTATGATGCGAGGGGATTGATGTTTTTTTTTTTGTTGCAGTATTTCTTGTATCAGTTACTCCGAGGATTGAAGTACATACACTCTGCCAATGTGATCCACAGAGATTTGAAACCCAGCAATCTCCTCTTGAATGCAAATTGCGACCTAAAGATCTGTGATTTCGGGCTGGCGCGCCCTACTTCCGAGAACGAGTTCATGACGGAGTATGTTGTTACGAGGTGGTACAGGGCGCCGGAGCTATTGCTCAACAGTCAGGATTACACCGCAGCAATTGACGTCTGGTCAGTGGGCTGCATCTTCATGGAGCTCATGAACAGAAAGCCCTTGTTTCCTGGCAAAGATCATGTCCATCAGATGCGATTGCTGACAGAGGTAATGAACATGGAGGGTGCCTTTGAATCTAAAGAGGGGAACTTGTTGTTGTTGGGGATTGAATGTTCAGTTGATCTAATAATCGAATGTGGTTTCATTTTGTCTTCTCCCCTTCAGCTACTGGGCACACCAACCGAATCTGAGCTAGGGTTTGTGAGAAATGAAGATGCTAGGAAATATATCCGGCAGCTCAGCCCACACCCTCGACAGCCATTGGCCAAACTTTTCCCTCATGTTCATCCTTCGGCCATGGATCTTGTGGACAAAATGCTGACATTTGATCCCACAAGAAGAATTACCGGTGAGTTTCCAAAGACTCGAACAAACAAACTCTTTCCCAAGTTCAAAAAAAAGTCTGGATGATTTGAACGTCACCACTTGATGCTAACACTGTATCTCTCTGTGTGGCAGTCGAGGAAGCATTAGCACACCCATACCTTGAACGATTGCATGATATAGCAGACGAGCCGGTCTGTCTAGAATCCTTCTCTTTCGATTTCGAGCAACAACCCTTGGTAGAAGAACAGATGAAGGAGATGATTTACAGGGAGGCATTAGCCTTTAATCCAGAGTGTGCATAAAAATTGCGAAGAAGAGTAATGCTGGTTCTGGTGCATTGTGTTTGATAGCCTCTATCATTTCTTCTTCCATGGAGGTTGCTACTGCAAATCAGAATTTGGAACAAGAAGAGAGAAGAGCAATCAGATTAAACTGAGCGACGTTACAACTGGCGGTGAAAGAAGAAACCCCAAAACGCTGCCCTCTCTCCATGCTGCAACTTCCTGGTCAGGTAATTACACCTTGATAGGTCTCTGCCATTACTGTAGACCCTGTATCAAATGTTACAATTAAGCCCCTCTGCCCCAAAGCTTTCCTGTTGTAAGATGTGTGGCAGTTATTGATTGTTTTTTCCCCTTCCATCCCGTATGTAATATTGCAATTTTTTTTATTTCGTCTTTGGTATACTTACACGTTTATATAACTGAATAAAACCTCATGGTAGTCAATAGTTATGAGGTTATTTTATTTTGGCAAAATACACTTGTATATGCAAAATTTTCGCGTTTGTATCAATAATAGTCCAATTTGGAGAAATGCCACTTATAGCCACTTCCGTCCAATTCTTTAACGGTGTGTTAGCGTTAAGTCTGATAGACAAACAGAGATGCTGACGTGGCGAGCACTTCCGTTCAATTTTGTCTGTAAAAATCCACGTGGATTTAGAAAATAAAAAAAATTGTGAGAGAAAATAAAATTAAGGATTTCACCACAATAAAAAAACAAACTCATTCACTGAAAACCTCCGACCTTCATCTCTTCCTCCTGCTACCTTCGTCTCCACTGGTTCATCCCCTTCTTACTCTTCTTAGATGAGAGCAACTGGAGACTGAACCACTCCGCCCCCAGACTGAGAACGAAGGGACTCTAAAGTCCGAACCCCCCGTCGATGACCTAGGCTCTAAAACAACGCGCATCTGCCGGCGACATTAGGGGGTGCACTGTCTCACTCGAGCTCTCAGTCACGCAGGCGATCCCGCAAAGAAGATGAGATGATTTTGCTCGATTAAACCCCACGCACTATCAACCACCCCGGCGAGCTTCTGCCCTCCCTAAAGCTTGTTATATGGTAGATTTATTGCCAAGGGAGAGCCGCGAGTTACGAAGAGTGTCGGTGGCGGCAGATCTGCTGCCGGCGGAGTGAGTAAAAACATACTGGAGCTTGTTATCCACTCACTGACTCTTGTTATCCTTGCCTACGACCATGGGTTTCTTCTGTGATTTTGGATTTGTAATCAATCCCAAGAATCGTGAATAGAAAACCCAGATAACAGAGAGACAACCTGGTAACTATGAATCAATTCCAACGAATCGTGGTGTCGCAAATCGGTAGAGAGGCTGGGATGCTTGAGGAAGCGAAGCCGGGGACTTGGTCGGCCACGAAATCAGGGGATTTGGGGAAGAAGATTTGTGGGAATGGAGAAGAGTACTCGTTGCATCGATCGGAAAGGGGAAGAGTATTTATAAGCAATGAGAAAGAACCCTAAAATCGAAATCGGGGGAGATGGGTCGTGCGAAGCTGATATGAGGGTAGGAAAAATTTTAATTTTTTTTATTAATAAGGAAAAAAGGGGTTCCAACGAGTGAAATGGAATGGAAGAGCACCCGATATGGAGAGTCTTTGGTTGTTGTGTTATGTGAGTGAGTCTCTTTGTCCATGAATTGTCTGCCCTAGGTTCACTGCTTCACATGATCCTGGTGTGAGTCTAGTACTCACATTGAGGGAAATAGGGGATGTCTTAGAAAATCGGTTGACCTCATAAGTTGCTAAATGATCTAGGAAATGCTCTACCGACGCCGGGGTTGCGTGGTGTTGCTTCACATGATCCTGGTGTGAGTCTAGTACTCACATTGAGGGAAATAGGGGATGTCTTAGAAAATCGGTTGACCTCATAAGTTGCTAAATGATCTACGAAATGCTCTACCGACGTCGGGGTTGCGTGGTGTTATAGAGGTCTGGATAGCTGCATTGGTTTGAGTCAGGTTTGCTTGGGGACAAACAAACAGTTAAATGTGGGAGAATTTGATAGACCGCTATCTGCACATGATTTGCCCACTATTATTGAACTGTTTGAGAGTCGATTCTCGTGTTTTAAGTCGATTTCACGCTAGATTGTGCGTTTATGTCAAATTTCAAGACTTGGCACAGAAAGAGAGGCCTGGAAGCGAGTTTTGGGTAAAAAATGGAGGGTTGGCAGCAATGAGGAGCTGAAGGGCAAACTACCATGTCCGGTCACTCAAATACCCGATCGGGTATATGCGGCTGGGAGACCTGGAGAAGCAGAAGGCCCCCCGGTCGAGAGCCCTAAATACTCGACCAGGTATTTTCATAGGAAGCCGGGTATTGCCATTGACTGCTGCGCACCGTTTCATATATACCCGGCCGGTCCTCTTAATACCCGACCGGGTATTTGTACAGGTTTTCGGGAGCTGCAGCTGTTAAATGCGAATTTCGGGGTTTTAGGCTATCATCCAAGTTTTATAGAAAGAAAGTGAAACCTAGAGAGAGAGCGACGAGCCAGACCTTCAAGGTGATTTAGATCGAGTTTTGACGCCACTGGAGCTCGATTTAAGCCTGGAGAAGTGCCGATTGACAATCAGAAGCTGATTTTCATCCTCTAAAGATTGATTTCTGCATCTGAAGCTGATTTCTCTTCTCTCTCTATAGAGTAAACTCTCTCTCTCTCATCTGGGTATGAAGAACCCTAGATTTGTACGTTAGGCTTGGTTGTATTAACCCAAATACATGATCTTCTAACATTGATTATATTCAATTGAGGCAAGATTTACTGAATTGCTTGAATCCTGATCAAATTCTGGTAGTTCCTACTTTGACCTAGAAAAATAATATCTGTCTAGGTTAACAGAACACCCTTAGTTGAAGGTGGAGAATTGACTACTTTAGTCAAGGAATTAATTCAGTATTGGATTTACTCCAGTAGATGAGGTTTTGCACATTAGGGCCTCAGTTTGTTTACTCCGATGGCGGTTAGTCGCCCACCTTGTATTCAGATTGAGAGGGTCTGAATACCTTTAGTCGGCACTTCAGACTGATTAAGAACCTTCCGCAGTATAACTGTCATTAAATCTGGACTTGGTGAATTATAACCTGGTTTAACTGCAATCTAGGGGGAACCATATCTGTGTAACCTCTCTCAAACTTGAACCACAACCTTTACTCCTTTGTGTTTTGTTTAGATTAGTTACAACCTCACTACCATTAAACAGCTAGATAACAAGAATTCACGGAGTAGTTATCACATCTAGTACCTGGGTTAACAAATAAAGCTAAACCGCTATACTACGCATTAGTAGGTGGTTACACTTGGCCACTTTCTAGTGTGATAGTATAGGCGAGTCAAGTTTTAGGCCTTGTTGCCGGGGATGGCTAGGTTGTTGAAGAAACGTGGTTTCTGTTACTTTAGCATTCCTTTTCTGCATTATTATGTTTGCTTCTTCCCACTTTTGCCTTCACGATGTTTGCTTGCTTAGCTTTGTGCAGGTAGTGCATGACCTGTAGCCAGTCGGGAGCATTACCACCGTTGGATCCAGAACTTGAGCGCACTTGTTGCCAGCTTAAGAAATTACAGTGAGCGAGACAAGCTAAGGCGGAAACAACTAGATGAAAAACCTGAATCAAGAACAACCTCTAGGGATGCCCCTCCAAGTCCCTGCGGTGAATCAAGTCCCACCTAATGGCTGACATCCGCCCGGTCATTTAGTATCCGCCCATCCCTGCCAACAACTTTGAGATCAAGCCATGCTGGATCAAGTTGATCACATCTTCCATCCAGTTTCATGGGCTCAAGGATGAAGAGGCAAGGGTGCACCTTTTTCGGTTCTTGCAGCTGACCAATGGATTCAAGCTGAACGGTGTCCCGGATGACGCAATCCGCCTTCACCTCTTCCCCCACTCTCTAGCGGGGCATGCAAAGAGGTGGCTAGAGACTCAGCCGACACTGTCCATCACTTCTTGGGACGATCTGGCCAACAAGTTCGTGCATAGGTACTATTCAGCCTCAAAGACCTCGGAAATTCAACGGTTGATCACTCATTTTTGCCAGGAAGATGATGAGTCACTACTAGATTCTTGGGAGCGGTATTCGAGACTGTTCTGGAAGTGTCCCCACCACAGTTGCAGTGATGTATTCACCATGGGGAACTTCTACAATGCTCTATCCCTAGAGAGTCAGAGTTTGATTAAGTCTTTGTGTCAGGGTGGAGACATTCTCACTAAGACTCCACCCGAGCTGAATCAGATGATCAGTACTTTAGCCACCAGAGATCATTCTTGGGGGCAGACCACCATAGGTAGGAGCTCTAGAGACAGGTGTAAATGCCATGGAGGCTAGATCAGGTATTGAGCGAGAGGTGGCAGAGCTAGTTTAGACATTGTAATAGCCTAACAACCTCATACCAGGCAGAGGCATGGCCACACCTCCTATAGTCCAGTGCTAGTGGTGTGAAAGTTCAAACCATTTGGTGGAGGATTGTCAAGCTATGAGGGAGTCCACCACCACCAAGGAGCAGTTGGATTTCATTACCAATGCTCGGTGCCTCGACCCCCTACAGTGGTACTTATAGTGAGGGTTGGCGCCAGCATCCCAATTTCTCCTGGGGTGGCAACAACAGCACCACCAAATCTCCTAGATTTGCAGCACCGATTGGTGGCTTTCAGTAGAGGCAGCAGTACCAGACCCGATAGGGTCCATTTTTGCACAACAGCAGCCATTCCAGCCCAGATAGGGGAAACCCTTTCAGCAGCAGTAGAGGCAATTCCCACAGTCAGCAGCAGCCCCAACACAGGGTGACCAGATGTCTGAGCTGAAAAATATGGTGACGGCTTTCGTGAGCACCAGTACGGAGAAGTTCGCAAGGATGGACCAATTCATGGAATTCTCTATGGGGAAATTCAATGCATTGGAGGCAGGTCAGAGAAACCAGAGTGCTAGTTTCCAGGACCTCCAGAACCAGATTGGAGGGATAGCCCGGAACAACAGCACCAGAGCACCGAGAACTCTACCTGCCAGCACCATCTCAAATCCTCGCGAGCCTCACCAGCAGTTGGATGCCATTACTACTCGAAGTAGCAAGATTACGACTGTTGTTTCTGCTCTGGTTAGGCACAAGGCCACAACCAGTGGTTAAGGAGCATGTCCCCCAGCTTCCCTTCCCCACTCGTATGCACAAGGACAAGCTGGAGACCGAGTTTGCCAAGTTCATGGCAATGTTGAAGCAGGTCGACATCAATATGCCGTTCGTGGAGGCACTATCGAAGATGACCAAGTACATGAAATTCATGAAGGATCTCCTCACCAACAAGAAGAAACTTGGGGATCTGTCGACAGTGATGCTGAGCGAGGAGTGTTCTACAATCCTACAAAACAAGCTGCCTGAGAAGTGCAAAGACCCAGGGAGTTTTACTGTCCCTCTTGTTATTGGAAGTATGCGTGTAGGAAAGTCATTTGTGTACCTAGGCGCTAACATAAATGTCATGCCCTATAAATTGTTTAAGAAGTTAGGCCTAGGTGAACCTA